ATACGGCGATCGTTTGGAAGAACAGATGTGTGACCGTTTGGTAGCGGGCAACAACAATCTCAGTCGGCAACGCAAGTTACTGGAGAAGAAGGATTTAACTTTTGCCGAAGCCCGGAAAATCTATGAACAGCTTGATGATTTGATGAAGGCTAAATCCAGCGAAGCAGTCACAATATTCCAACGGCAGAAGACTCCAGCGAATCAACCTCCACGGCCAAACGTGCACCAAAGCCGCAGAAAGATTCCCCAGGTAATGAAAAACGAATCAATCCATGCTTATCTTGTGGAGTTCACCACCTACGCTCCAATTGCCGCTTTCGTAATGCCAAATGTCATTTCGGCAGGTAAACATCTGAGTGTCGATTTCAGCAAATGTAGTGCATCCAAGTCCGAACGATAATCGAAGTGGTCGAGAGCGGTGCTGCAGTTCTGCATCTTGATGAACAAGTTTGATAGAGAGCTAGTATCGCCCGTGTGCGTCTAGCCTCTGCCAGCACACCGTCAATTAGGTTACGTGCCACTCAAAATGGTTGGCAAAACATCTTCAGTTTATTTCTCGCTCTTGGGTAGCCCACTTCCAGATCAAGCATTGTACACACTTGTATGGCTTCGTTGGCTTTCCCACGACAATAATGCAGCAAAATCAGAAACCTTTGCTCCGCATTGGTGGTTTTGCATTCAACGAAGTATTCATATTGGCGAATAAACTCGCAGTACTGTTCGGTTTTACCTTCGAAACGTGAGTTCTACTCTTAGCAAATGAACGTTCACATGGGTGTACTTTCTTTGTTCCAGGACAGATTTTTTATTCGGAGTGTAGCTAACATGGGCAATCTCAGCTCGAGGTGTTGTTTCGCCGTTGAAATCTTTTCACGCTTTGCCTGTTCTATCTGCTGTTTACCTAACCTCAACTCATGCTTTAATGCAGAAAGGCGCAATCTAAACATATCAATATACGTAACATCTGAATCTACACATGAAACAGCATTGACAGGACTAACAGACCCAACATTTTCCGAAGAATCAAAATGACCCACAGCTCCCCCCAAAAACTTTCCGGGTTAATTCCTGTTGGGCTCCAGTTTCCTTAGTTCCTCGTTTAGGCATCTGTGAAATAATTTACTCGTTTTATTCCAATTTGAGTACTGTGGGTCAACTGAATCGTAATTGAGTGACGCGTAAACAAAATCGATACGAATCCCGAAAAAAAAACAAGATTGATTCGTAATGTTCTACAATAATGAATCGGGGACATAATTACAGAATGTACGATAAAGCAAACCCCAAATTTGCGGCTAGAGTCAAATATGATATCCAGAGGGAGCCAACTAGTCGTTCACGTTCACTGACCATGAGATAGAAATACCGAACGAAATCAATGCTAGTGATCAACTGTGGAAAGTCAACGATGATGAGGACCCATGGAAAATTACGGCGAATTCCGAGTTTCAGTGTATGGCGTAACCCCAGCGGTTTTTGGGACATCCTGCGGGTGCACGAGGATTTGGTTGTAAGCTCGAACTAGATCGATTTTGGTAAAAATCTCACACCCTCCTAAACTTTCTGTCAAGTCCTGGATGTGTTTTTGGATATCGGTCAGGCCTAGTGATGTTGTTTAGGGCCCTGTAGTCACCGCAGGAATGCCAGTCTTCGGTGGACATTATCGGAACCCTGTGTAAACGTGAGGCCCATGGACTGGAAGAGGGCTGTATGATTCCGAGGTCTAACATATGCAGAAATCCTGCCCGTCCGACTTTGAGTTTGTCTGGGGCGAGGCGTCTCGGACGGCAGCGAACGAATGGACCCCGTGTGACGATGTGGTGCACTATGTTAGTACTGACCTGTGGAAGATTGTTCGACGGTTTACGTAATTCCGGGAATTCGGAGAGAATCGCGTGGAGCTGACCTCCTTTTAGCGGTTGATAGATGATGGGGCTGACGGATGTTTCGCGTGTCGGGACGTCTACTGCCTCGAGAGTTGTGAGACGATCTACAAGATTATGGCCCATGGGATCGACCATGCGGTTGAAATAATGCAGGAAATCAATGCCAGTAATCGACTGTGGAAAGTCAAGGATGATGAAGACCCATGGAAAATTACGGCGAACTCCGAGGTTCAGTGTGATTGAACTCTCACTGTTAGTTTTGATTGGGGTTTGGTTCGCTGCGATCAATTCAAAAGTCGATGAATGGCGCTTATCGATGAGACGAGGGCGGATAATACTAACCTTGGAACCGGTGTTGACTAGAAAACGTGTGCCAGTGACCTCGTCTGTGACGTAGAATAGGCGACTTGGCTTAGCTAAACCCGACAATGTCGTCACCTGGGCTGGTTGGCTTAGGCATTTTCCTGCTGTAACGAATTGTAACTACAAGATTTCGTGCACTTTCGGGCTGCGTCGCCATATTGGTGATGGTACCAGCAAGCACCTGAAGAGGTTCTTTGTGACGTGGAACATCCCTGTCGGCTATGGGATCGCGAATGGAAGGAAGAACGACAGCGGGAGCTAAAAGCGGAGCATGAACGGGAGCTAGAACACGATTGATTGCGGGAAACTTTGAGTGCGGCTACTTGGGTCAATAACGCGTCTAAACATCGATTCATTTGGTCGTTGGCGTCCTTCCATGAATGTTTCTAAGTCTGGGGGTACGCGGGTGACTGGTGGAACCGACGGGGTTCGTGCGCAAATACTGTCGGCTGCTTCTGCTAGCTCGTCTAAGGTAGCTTTAGTTGCAAATACTCTGAGCAAAGTCGCGACGTAATATGGAAAGGCTTGAATCCAACAAATGCGTAGCACGTTTTTTCTCACGTGCAAGCTGGAAGCCTGAATCCTCATATAACTGAGCAGCTGTGTGAGAGTATGTAGCCCGTTATCCCCTAGATGGATTTTGTGCAGTAGATGCTTGAGACGGTTGTCCTCCGTCATGCTGAACCGGTTGATTATCGCATCTTTAATGCGTTTTAAGGTCTATCTGGTGGGGGGTTACAAACCACGTCTCTTATTCCATGTTTCATGGAGCGTGGGATATGTCCCACTATTTGTGTGAATTTGGTGACTTGATTTGTCATCTAGGCCAGCTGGAATTGTGCTTTCACCTGAGCTAACCAAAGTTCCGGTTTATCGAGGATGAAATCAGCGATTCTGGCCACTAGACTACTGACGGGGCGGTTACCATTCTACTTAATGTTTATTTCTGCGCTGATTTGATCGTCGTTTGCTGAGGTTTGCTTCATGTACGCAGGTGATGAGTGAATGACAAAATGCGCAATGTATATTCATCAACCAACTGGAAGTCGCAAAAATGCATTTACGGTTAAATCAGTGATATAAAAAGTATTAGGCAATTGGAATACTCTAACGGTATTAACGAAACTAAAATGCGCGAAAACTGTAAAAATTGAAAAGGATCACGTCGGGCTCACCAATTTAGTCTCTGGGCCAATGATGTCCACTATTCATCCGGATCCGTCGATCTAGAGGAGTTCAGTCGTCTTAGTTTTTCCTCTACTTCCGCAACTGTTAGGACAATGTGATCTAACAGGGAGAGATAGGTCAAGGAGTGAAGATTTGAATGACTGACAGGAGAGATGTTAAAAACTTGGTAGAAGTGGGAGCGAAATATTTCCGCCGCTTCTGAAGATGAAGTGTTGAGGGTACTATCTGGTTTAGATAGGTAAAAAGCGAATGGATCCTGACGCCGAGTTCGTTCCATAAATTTGTACTGGACCGACCGGTTTATCCGTGGCCTGGCAAGAATGCCGTTCTGCTGGTTTCGTTGATACTCTGGGATACTCGCTCTGNAGTGCGGACGAAACCACTGACATCTTCCAGACCCGTCAATTTGTAAATAGCAAAGGACCGCGTACGTTCTTCTAGTAGGCAACAAATACCACGCGGTAGGGTGTCTGTTTGTGGGAAATCACGGACGCGGGGCATCACCAGATCATTCGTGGTGCGGATACTTTGCTATTGTATTGTTCAGTAGATCGATATCCTTTATCTGATTGGTTTGCTGGAGATGGACTTGGAAGAAATGCCCCAAGTTGTTGAAGTTTGTCTTTTGAAAAGAACGAACCTCCATAAGACATGGTGCGACGCAACTGATTCATTGGACTATTACATCGAAAGGGAGTACAATATGGTCACTCTTGCATAAAATGCAGTGCTGTTGTAGTGTCAGTGAGTTATTATTGAAGGTAACAATCACTTGTTATGTCAAGGTCAGGCAGGGAAGGGAATTGCCCGTTTTGGAATCTGGTTGGGCTTGTGACATGTTGAGACCATGACAGCTCTCTTACCAGCTCGGCTAGTGATCTTCCAAGGGTATTATCCCAAGCTCTACCCGGAACGTCGAATTCTCCAGTTATTAGGAGGTGTGCGTTGGGGCGCATGAATCAACTGCATGGATTCAACTGATCTATCACAATTTGCGATTCTTGCTCGCCACGGGAGGGCGGACAGTACATTATTCCTAGCACCAGTATCTCTGAACGGTTCAGGGCAATTAGTACCCAGAGGCAGTTTATGGAAGGAATGGGAGGGAGAGATAGAGTAATCGCTTGAGGGAGGTGATCCATCGTCTAGAGGATCACAACACCTGCTCTACCCCTCATTGAGCCTATTCGGATCAATGAGTAGCCTGCAATGGATTCTTCACCATCGATGTTTTCTGGATCCAGCCAGGTTTCTGTGAGGGTTAACCAGTGCGGGTTCTTTTCTGCCACCAACTGTTTGACTTCCAGAATCTTGTTCGAGTTGCATTTCAAAGCCCATTCACCCGAGATTTTAGTGGAAGCGCAACCATAGTCTCCGGAATGGTTTCTTCCACTGAACGCAGTCAACTGTTAGAACCAACTTTGGCGCCCAAGGGTCTTTCCTACTAGGGCTGCTCTATATGGCCTTTCTTTTGCATCACCTAGAGTACTGTTCGCAGGCCCGGTCCCCTGGGCTGAAGAAGGACTAAGCGGATCTGGAGCGACATCACCGCGCATGTTCCCGGCACCTTTGTGGTGTGACATACGCCGAAAACATAGAACAGCTAAAGCGTACCTCACTGAAGAGGAGAAGACCGAAGACTGACTTGATTGAAGCGTTTCGTATTCTGGCAGGCTTCTCACAAGGGATCACCTATCTACTCCACGGACCCAACGGAAGGGGAAACAACATGAAATTAGAAAATCTCAGGGAGTTCAACTGCCTCTGGTAACCTTTTCATTTTGCCGGGTAGTAAATACAAGTAACAAGCTGCATCTGTAAGTATTAACGTCAAAAACCGTATCATGGGCAACAACGTTGATTAATTGTATCTGATCCTGGACCTCGGGTGGCAAATAGCTCGTCCGTTTCTGTCCCCCTGAATTTGTATATGCTCTTCCACATTAAACTGCCTCATGCACAT